TAAATTAAAATTTACCCAAACCTAATAACGAAGCATGTAATTTTGTCACATAGAATTTCGAAGCACCAGAATCAGTCACGTAGGCTCAGCGCGTTGTGGATTAATATGTAGGAGACATTTTATCATTTTGTGAGTTACGTGATTGCTTTTCTAATTATTTTATAACACGGCTCGATCTGACAAGTCAGTTATGTAACTACTTTTGAATCATGTTATAGTTATGATACTAGTATCAGTTTTTACCTGTATAGTCAAATTCGACCCGACCATTTGACCAACGACCAGTAGGCCGACCAGGAAAAGTTCTACCGTAAGGCAAACGTGCGGCAGGCAATAAAGGGCCGAATGGCCAGCGTCGGATGGAGTTTCCGGTGTCGGTGGCCCCATCTCCAAAATGGTACAAATAGTCGAATGGGCATTTGACATTTCGAATCGAGATTGTATCACCGGCAGCAAGGGGGATTGGGAAAAGGCATGTGATGATGAGCAAGTAGAAGAAACATCTTTTAACCAGACTGTGATTCTTAATCTTTACCTTCATCATGCTATATATTTTATATTTTCCTATGTGCTATTGTTAGATAATCAAGCAAAATGTGAAAGATATATAGGGAAAAATTGGGGGAGAGAGAGTACAATTAATTAATGACCTTAGGTAAATGGTATTAGAGCATCCATATTTGTCAATTTTTTTGGCCCATTTTAAATGGAGGGGGGCATTTAATATGATGCAGTTCATTCATTTGATGTGGACATTCCTTCAACCATTCATTCTGTTGAATGGGCAATTGATGCATTTTTTAATTTTTTTAATATTTAATTCAATGTTTAATTAAATGAATGGATAAACGGGTCTCATATATTCGAATTTAATTGATCAACAATTATGAAAATTGTTGGGAAAATTACGTACATGTAGTCTAGTGTATATATATTTACATATATACAACCATTGCAAACTTTAATCAATAAAGGACTCTATTGTGATTTTTATTGCACAATTACGAGATTTCAATTAAATACAATCTGATGAGTTACTCTCTTTCCATATCTCGATCATGGCAAGAAGCACCCGACATCAACGCTAAAAAAATAGAAGCCTGGAAACAACCACCGGCCGGCCGATCACCGTCGAAGATAGATCTCTACTGTGTCTGAGCCTGTTCTTCCTCAATTCACGACTCCTTCACAGCAGCCATGGAAACCTTCTCCGAACACCCTGTCATTTAGCCTCCCCCCTTATTCCCCCATTTTGTCCGACCTAATTATATC